TGCTCCCAGGGCAGGAGGACAGGCAGGCCATCCTCCCGCCCCAGGGGAGCAAGGCTCAGGCTTTGCAAGCAAAAAAGTTGGAGGAAACAAACCCTAAAATAACCCCAGGCCAATGCAGACACCCCCACATCCTAGACCTGTGCATGCACCCAGTTACACACAGCCACGGTGGCCATGGCGGGTTTGCACCTCCATTCATCCCAATTCTCAGCCCCAGCAGCACAGGAGCTTCAGTCAGTAGCGGAGAGGATGAAGTGGGACCCAGTCCTCTTCTCCGGTGCAAAAGGAGCCGGGCTTAAAATCACGTAAGGCACCCCACGGGAGGGCTGGGTGGTGGATTTGTCAATCCTTCCCAGCAGCAAAGCAGGGGAGGCTGGTTTAGCCTGGGAGAGGAGCCTGGTTTAATCCGGGAGAGGTGGGACTGGGGAGGGGAGTGCAGTAACGCCCACTCCAGCTGGGACTCAGCAGGGAAAGGAAAGCTCTGCTCCCCCCCGTCCAGAACGAAATCAGCATCTCAAAGACTGGTGCTGGGAAGTGTCTGAACCTCACCCCGTGATGTACAGCTGGGGACAGCTTCTCCTTGCATCAAGACACAGGAGCCTAGAAACAACCCCATCGCATTCCTCACGTGTGGGCACTTCTCAGGAGCAAAGCTGGTCTGGAGCAGGATGAGGCCGGAGAGCTGGTGCCAGCAGAGATCCTACCCTGGTCCACAGCACAAGTGGAAGGTCAGTGTGGGACCCAGCACAGAGATCTTGGCATCTATGTGCCTGCACAATTTATGAGCTTCAGCACGAAACCCTCGCTGGGGGGATGAGCAAACAGAACTAAACATGGTAATTTATTCACTCCATGAAAAAATATTAGTTAATCCAAGCCAATGAGATTGTAAAGCATGATAACTGGTCTGGCTGGTGACAACATCCATCGCTAGCAGTACTCATGTTTTTTGTCTACACTGTTGCCCTAGGCAGTGAGATGCAGCAGCAGCATGACAGCTCCCAGCCACACATGATAATTTAAGAGAGAAAAAATATCTTATTTCAACTCCAAACCAGGGCAGAAGAGTTTAAAAAAAAAAAACAAGACAACTTGCAAAAATTGATTTAGATAGCAGTGACACTCTGCAGAACTTATTTGCAAGTCTGTGCTGCACAATTTGAGATAAAAACTGTTTAATGAAATGAAGGATGAGCGCTGCTTTGTAATGCCACTGCTGTGCAGGAATACCAACAGGCCAAAGCAAACACACCGAAAGCTGAGCGATCCCCCTCTAAATATGTACCTTCACCCAGTGTTTGGTCCCAATGACTGCTGCCCTTTCACTTGCAGCCAAGCGTAAATGCTTGGGTTGTTCAGGGGCTAAAAACTATTAATTTTTTAAATTATGTAAGCTATATAAAGCTGTCACTTTGAATCACAGCTTATCGGGGAGGCAATATTTGGGTTTGCAGTATTCAAAATAGCTATTGTGAGTTTTTGCATTCCTTTGTTCAGCATTTTCAAGAAGAGAAATGTCTCTCTGGACTCCCATACCCACTTTCAAGTGGAGAGAGGCTCGTCCCCTCCCGCTCCCCGAGCTCTGGGGAGATGGGGCACACCAGTCCCATGACACCCGACTGCAGCCCTGGAGGACAACGGGGCCCGCTTGAAGCTCACCCTGCAGGAAGGCAGCGCTGGTTTCAAACGTACCGTGCCGCTTGCTTCTCCTGCTTGTTTTTCAATTGCATGGCAAGGATGTTAATGAGTGTCTGAGCCACGGCAGGCAAGCCCAGGGCATTTCAAACGTGGAAGAACTTCACAGAGAAATAATCTGCATAAAATCTGAGACGCCATTATTAAGAAGGAAGAAAAGAAAATGCAAGCAGAAACCATCCTCCTCGGCAGCCAAGAGTGGCAAGAGAAGAATGGTTCTATAGAGGAAAATGTATTCATTTGATCCATTATTTATATAAAGTGTTCTTTGTAAACCTGATTTCCCATCACCCTGGATGACAGCGGGGGAAGACAGGAAAAGAAGAGGTCCAACTTCATACCTCTGAGGGAAAGACAGCCCGTCTGGGCACCCTGCATCACACTAGGATCCCAGAGAGGGAACAAGCCCTAGTGCTGTGGGAGGCCAGTGCCGTCCCTGCAGGCGGGCAGCGCCTCACCAAGCACCCCCGCACTTAAGGGTAGGACCGCTGAGGTTCTGAGCACACGTTTCCTTCCTTTTGAAGGTGGATGCACCACCAAGTCCTCGCTGTCCCAATGAAACTGCTTAAGCCACTGAGCAAAACCACTAAAAATAAAAGCATTTAATATGGGGTTTTCACATGAACACACAGAAAGGCAACAGTCTGAAACAGTACGTACACAGCATATATAAATAAGGACAAAGATTAAAAATACTTTGGAAACGATAGACTCTGGGAACAGTTAGTGGCTGCTCTGGGGGGAAGCATCCTTGTGAGTCATTGCACAGGGCAGACAAATGAGACACATCCAAGCATGACTAACACTCCCCCTCGCCTGTGAGACAGTGTGAACACATTGGGACTGCAACAGCCAAGGGTCCTAGAGGCAGAATCCGTTAGCCACGACCATTCTCAGCATAGGGAGGACACCCCCATGGGCACCGAACCCCTCCTGGGACTGCCCTGTCTGGAGACTGCACCTGCCCCTTTGGCAGGGAAGGCATCCGAGACATGCAGAACGCCAGGCTGTTGCCCCATAGATAATTTTTCTTAGAGCTAAGCAAATCTCAGCTGTGCCAGAAGCCAGATGGAGTGCCTGAGCTAGAGCCATCAGTAAGGGGGGGACAGTGGAGAGAAGAGTTAGATTCCTCTCATCTATACAGGAGCAGCGTATTTAGTCTTGGGAACAAGATTGCCTTGCCAGGCAGACACCCATACAGAGATATATGCCCAAGTAAGCTAGGGGCAATGGGGACAGGAGGGAAGGGATGAACAAATGCTTCACCCAGCAACCGCCCCCAATGCAAGTAAGAGCAGAGGTAGCAGGACCAGACCCAGCTCTCTGTGCGCTGCCGCTCGACCTTCGGCTCTGCCTCATCTCTGTTCAGAGGCAAAGCCGAGATCCCCAGGTCTCCGCTAACAGCAGACTGCAGGGGCAGGGTAGAAGTGCAGTCAGCAAAACACACCGTGCCCTTCGGAGAAGAGCACATAGACAGCTTCAGCCTCCGGAGGGAATGATTATAGACACATCCAAAAAGCACATACTACTACTACAGCAAACAGCCTCTGCCCTTCCTCACAGCATCCTCGCCTGCCCGGTCCCTGAAGAACCAGAGCTCTTTCTTTGCTGCGACAGAGGCTCCTAACACCAGCAACTCCCAACTCACACATCTACAGTTCCACCACCCCCTACAATTTCAAGGCAGCTCCTCCAATTTGGGGTCAGACTGGGGACAGGCGCCCCCAATAAAGTACCAGGAACATCCCTTTAGACAGAGCAGCATGAGGCACATAGCTTTGTGTATCAAAAAAAAAAAATCACAGTAAAAAAAAGTGACAAATTCCAGCTAAGCTGCACAGGGCTCCGATGCCCTGTTTTGACAGCTCTAGCCAGTCGGACTGAACTCCCTGCTCACATCCCGATATTCACACCTCCTGCCACGAGTTTTCTCGGAAAGCTGTCAAGGACAGAGCTCTAACTCCTGCCAGCTGCTGGTTCTTAAAGATTAGAAGACAATTATAATTGGATTCCAGAGATTATTTTCTTCACCGAAAAGGGCTGAGAAGTGTTTAGATGGTTCCCCAGCTGATTAAATCTTTATTTCACAGTAGTGACCCTGTGTGTTTCCCACCCCAGGGCGCTTGCAGACAGGTACTTGGCAAGATTGGCTTATTGGAGCACTTTAGCTTAACAAGGCAGCTGACACTGGCCAGCTGTGATGGGGGTTTATCCCTTATCTAGATGGTTTCATCTAATTTCTGCAGCTCAGGCCAAAGAACTGAACCCAGCTCCAGCCCTTTCCCCCAGTTTAATGACTAATCAGCCAGTTGCCTGACCAGCCATCCAGATATCTTGAGCCAAAGCCTTTGGCACCATTTGCAGCAGATCACAAATGGCCGGAGCCCTCCCTCACCTCTCATGCTGCTGATGCTGTTCCTATGCTGCACACACAGCCGCCAGGCTCTGCCTGCCCCAGACGCCCCAGCTTCCAAAGACTGGGCTGTCCTGCCCCAGCCAGCCTTTGCCAGCCTCCTGCCCCGCTCAGCTTGGCCTCCCTGGGAGAATACAAAGCAGAGGCACTCCTTGCTCACCAGGCAGAGCCCAGCAGCCACGCTGTGCCACGGAAACACAAAGGCAGTGAGCAAGGGCTGCCTCCAGCTCAAGCTGAAAGAGAGGGATGAATTTATTGGGGAAGCTGCTTTCCTCTGCCCCCACTTGAAACGATGGCACCCAGAGCCTCTCCTCTTCTCCCAAGCCCATCCTGTGCTCTGTACCGTTTGTGCACTCCAGCCCTTCGGGGACAGCAGGGCAAAATGGAGCCCAGAGGAAGCAGAGGAGGGCATGGCTCCAGAGGAGGCCTGGAAGTAAGGTTAGCTGTCAGGATGCGGGTGAAGGTTGGAGTCCATCATTCTCACTGCTAACAGAGGAGGGAGAGCAAACACAAGCCAATATGTTAAAAACTCAAAGCAGAAAAGCAGAAAAATACAGCCTAGCAACATTGCAGAGAAAGCTGGGAGTGCAAATGGCCCCGCAATGCATAGGGCTCTCCTTGTAAGCAAGCACTCCAGCTCTTCCCAGAGCCAGCAGGTCAGACATGCTGCACAAGTTTTGGTTACATAGTGGTTTGCCCCATAGTAGAATGAAATATAATTTATATACAGAAAGAAACAAGTCCCTGCAGTCTTTGCAAAGGTCCAGTTTCAAGAGCGCTGCCACGTTGGTGAGGGTTGCCGTGAGCCTGCAGCACTCCCCTCTCAGTGCAGCACATTATTCACAGCTTGCGAGGCTGGGCATTCCCCACCCATGCGTTGATGCGAGGCGATTCAGAGGGATGACGAATCCTTGGAAAGCAGGTGGGCTCGCATGCGTCTACAGGATTCCTGGAGCAGAGAATTAGAGCAATTGACTGCTTTAGACACAGAATGCCATGCAAGAAAAGGTTGATGTGCTGTCCTCCCCCTGCAAGGACTCCCCACTGGAGTCTGCCTCCCACACCTTTTACCAAAGCAGAGCACTAGACAAGAGGCAGTGAGCAGACGGCGACAAACACAGCAGTCGGTCTTGGGCCGTACCAACCTCCCGTCCCACTGCCACCTTGACAGGCTGTTAGCACTACCCCATGATGCCAGCTTCCCTCTGCTTCCTGTGACAGCCGGTCTGCCAACTCACAGGTAGAACAGCTGTACACACCTGCTCGGGTGAAACCCTTCAAGCCCAGGCTTCCAGCATGTCAACTACCCGCAGCTTGGCATGGAGCAGACTGCTACAAGGCAGGGGACCACATCTGTCACAGAGCCCAAGACAGAGCCTTGTGTGCATGCCATCACCTCAGCAGGTCTCGGAGCCCAGCAGGCGAGGATCCCCTCAGGAAGTGTGTGTGTGTGTGTCTCACCTCTTTCCGGCCCTCCGAAGATTTCAGCTTCGCTTGGGACATGTGAGCTGGAGATCCACATTTCTGTAACTGGACAAGAGAGGGGAATAAGAGTAAAGAGCTGGGGAATGAAGTGGCATCCACAGCCTTCCCTGTGGTGAGGGAAGGCTGATCATCTCTCTCTTCCCACCAGAGAGCAGCTACCACCCAAATCCACTCTTGGTTTGTCTGGGCCATGGGACAGCCCTACTACTCACAGGCAGCAGGCTGCATACAACTTATGGAGGAGGATGGGAGAGGGGAAAGGGGGCATAAGCCAATGCCCAGAGCACAGACACAGGTAAGTCAGAGGGACAAGACTGGAGTGGAGGCCCAGTGCTGCCACCCCTGTCCCGATGCTGCCCTCGCCATCTGCTCTGCTCTCCCCAAAGCAGCTTCCTAAGCCCTTATCTGATCATACAGAAGAAACTTCGAAACCTTGTCTTGGGCAGAGGACAGCAAGCAGTCCCCAAGGATCACTCAAATGAGTTCCCAAGTTGCACTGAAACTCCCCTCCATGTGCTCCCCCACCAGTAGCTTCAGCAGTGCTGGGAGCAGCCCTTACCAGGTGGACATTCTCTTTGCTGACTCGCTCGGGCTCCGGTGTGGCATCCCTGCTCTTCCTCTCCAGGATAACCGGGGTTCCCAAAACCTTCCGCTGCCGTAAGAAGAGAGGGCTGTTGGCTAGTGCTTAGAGTGCAAAGTGAAAAAGAAAGGGAAGGAGCAGGATACATTGCTGGTAAGCAGCTGGATGCTGGGAAAGAAAAAAGGAAGCCAAGCTGGGACAAAGACTGCAAAGCAGAACCACCTGAAATACCATGCCACTAGGCTGAGCCTGCCTGATTGTAAAGGGTTTGGGAGCTGACCTGAGGCCTGGCAAGGAGCCCAGCCTGTCAGAAGCAGGTACATGCTGCTGTGGGGCAGCCTATAGCGTGCTAACAGGCTAGACTACATGACCAGCTCCCTGTCAGTCCTCATCTCATCTCGGGAAGCAACTGATCCTTCAGAAAGATGCATAGATCCTACAACCACATGCTTCATAGATAATTACACTTTATACTAACAAGGCTTATTCTCAGTGTGCTGCCTTTTCTGTCCCCAGTGGATCTGTGTTCTTTGGCAGCCAATGCTTTGAACAGTCCCTACCTTCGAGGGCCTCATTCAAGCCAGGGCAAGGCAGAAGCAGAGAGCAACATCAGAAACTCACAGCAGAGAGCATGGGTCAGAGGCTGCCTTTACCTTAATGAGGCCGCTGAAGGAGCGCGAGCGGGTGCGTCGCGGTGCTGGGGATGTGGGTACATCAGAGCCAGGAGTGAGAGCTGTAGGATGCTTATTAAACTAGAATGAAACATGAGGGCAGTATGTTAGCACAGTTACTGTTACAGTTAAACCAGTCCCTTGCTGCTGTGTGCTGATCTACCTGCTGCCCTCTGCCTAGGCCTCAGTTTGGCTCTTTTGCACCCCAAAATGGAAAAGCAGCTCAGAGCTGCAGGGATAAGAAAGCAGAGGAAGGCCACATCTCCCACCCAGGATTTACAGGGAGCTTGGGTGTGAGGCTGCTTTGTGCTGGCTACCAGGTTAGCCAAAAGCAGCAGCTGTTGGAGCAGAAAGGGGTTTGGGCAGCAGCTGGAGGCTGGCAGCCAGGACTGGTGCTGACCGTGCCACCCAGTCTTTCTGGAGCAGCAGGTTGGCTGGGAACGCTCACTGGACAGAGGAGACCAGTTTGTCCACTCCCCGCAGGCAAGAGAGGACAGGACTTTTCCTGTTCTAAGGGAGGAAGCTCAACAAGGCCACAATCAGGACTGGGGAACTGCTGGCTGGCAAGTCCCTGGCTTGGAAAAGAGAGCTCAAAGCACAGCTTGGTGCAGCACATCCAGAATAGGCCTCCTCCTCCCCTGCCTTCTTACAGCTCTGCCCCTTACCACAGCCCAAAGCCCACTCTCTCCAGCCTGCCCAGGACTAGGAGCAGCTCTCAAGCAGGCCCTGCCTTTAGCCCTGTGCACAGGATTGTGCTGACAAGCACACCCCAAAGACACCTTTCCTCCCCACACTACCTGCCGGATAAGCTTCTTCTTCTTTGCAGAGTCAGGCATATTGTGGACATGGCGGAAGAGCTCCTTCAGTGCCTCCTCCGTGCGCTGCTGGGTCTCCTCCTGATGGCAAGTGTCCAGCCGGCTTCGCTTCTGAGACTTGAGGGGCTGCAGCTCGTTGGAGCCAGGAGACGTCAGCAAATCCAGGTCGTCCTGGGAAAGTGGAGACAGCAGTTGCTTGCCATGCTTTAATCCAAATGAGCCACCCATCTGAGCCAGGCTGGGAAGAGTCTCATGAGCTGCCTCAACCCCAGGAATGCACAGGGCTGTGTTTTCCCTACCCCTCTGCAGCAGCACTGCACCAGCAGGCCCTGTGCCAGGAAGAGGTGACAGCAATACAAAGGTGACCCCATTGCTTCTTCCCTCCCCTCCCGGATGCCAGCTGCAGAAGCCCTTCCAGGCTTGAGAAGGGTCAGTGCAGCTCCTTGCAATGCATCTTCCCTCTTCTGCAGCTATATGAGGCAGGGAAGCGTTTGCTGGCAATACACAGACAAATCTTGTGCCAGTGGCAGCAAGTAGCCTTTATCCCAGCCTCTCTTCCAAGCAGCCTGGCCACAGCAGCAGGCGCATCTGTCTGTTTGGAAGGCACAACCCCATGAAGGAGCAGGTGCTGCATGTACTGGGCACAGGGAGCAGGTTTGCTGCTAAACAGGGGCTGGTAGCTTTCCCTGTGCTTGTGATTAACAGATGCTTCAACTCTGCCCAATTTCCCTAATGCAGCCACCTGCACTACCGCACCATATGGTTCCATCACTCCTGCTTTCTGACAGATCCTCTTTCATAACTTGGTTTGTTTTCAGCTTCTTTCACTCACAAGGATCCCTTCACAGTATCACAGCCTCCGCCCTTTCACGGAGGGCAGGCACCGCATTTGCTGGCCTTACCTTTGATGTGTGGGCTCTGGATCCCAGATAGTGCAGCCTGGCACACTCCCGGATGTACGCTGGGGCCTGCGATGATGAGCAGAGAAAAGGCCAAACATATGTTTAGTATGTTTGGCCCTGGGGCAAGAGCAGCTCCAACAAGAGCTGCTCTTCAACCATACCATGCAAGCCACTTCCATCAAGACTCAGCTGTTTAGGGGAGACAAAGCAATGGGATTTCATGTCCCCAGTGCAGTCCCTGTTCACAGTTTCCCTTTGATGCAGTCCACCAGCACAAGTGGAACACAGAGTAAGAGCAGGGTTCCACAGAAGCTTTTTCCAAGCAATTCTCACAGCTCTAAGCTGGCCAAACAGGGGCCTGACAAAGAGGGCAGAAGGGGAACTTTCTATGGGAGGACTCTGTAGAGAGCAGATGCCTACAGCGACCAGGAAGGTCCTGAGAAGTCAAGAGACTGCCTGTTGCAGAAACACTTCCTTGGAGGAACCTGCAGAGAGCCCCACACTCCTGACTGTCCTACCACAGCACCCTGCTCTGAGCTAGACAGAGGCCCAAGACTGCAGGCTGTGCCTGTAATGGCAGGGGGTTGACTACCACTTGCAGAGAAGTTCACAACAAAATGACCCGCCATATTAGGCATTCAGCTCTTGACAGCACTCATCCAGGACAAGCCCCTTCAGTTTCCTTATCCTGCCAGAACCCGAGGGGAGCCCGGTCGCTACCTGCCCCTAGGAACCAGGTTTCCCAGCCGGGCAGTGGGTGCTGGGTGTCCAGCAGAGGGTGGTGTTACGCTGCACCGTGCTTCTGACCTGCCCAGGCACAAAGACACCTACCTCCAGGGCTGTTTTCCTCCTCCTGGGCTGCCTGCCCAGCAAAGATCTCCTCCCTAGTCACTAAAGGAACAGTTTCTTGTAGAAATCCTCCTTCTACCGCAGAAGAGAGCACCCAGAACATACACTTGACACCTGGGATCTGTCTGGACAAGGGGCATTCAGTTTCCTGATGAAGGGCCAGGGAGAGCAAGACCCCAAAGCACACTTACCTTGAAGAGTTTCTGAGAGTGTTTGATCATGAAGGTCACTCCATTGTTTAGCTTCGTGATATTCTCCTGAAGGTCATTTGCTGTCACCTGGCAAGGGGACACAGCCAAAGGTGCAGTAGTTAGAAGGGGAGGAGGAAGGGTCTCTGCTGCCCTTGCTGTCTCTGGGACATAGAGACAAGTGCCTCAGCAGGAGACCTGTTCTGAGGAGATAGGCAGGCAGGGCTCACAGCACACCAACAAACAGAGCTCACAGAGCCAAAGCTGCTCTGAGAACAGGAGAACTAGACAACTCTGGGGCCAAACAGTTCACCAGCAGCACAAGAAACCTTGCAGAGAGATCTGCAAGGTTTGGCTGGAGTTGTCATTCTTAGAAGAAGCAGGACTGTGCTGTGCTTTCAATTTTACTGAAAAAGATGAAGCATCGGTTGCAAATGAGACCTATGGCAGATCTGGACTGAACACTAGGACTGAGTCCTGCCAGGAAGCTCCACCTCACCATCCCAGCCTCCAACCCTCACATCACTGTATCAATACTTAATCTTCCCATCTTGGTTCTTCCCCTGTAGGCCTGCCAAGCCTCTGCTTTCTACCTTGCAATATCCCACCTGCAGATACTGAGGCATTGCTCACATTTCTGGGCCATAGGATGTGGGGTGCAAACATGAGGGCAAGATTGTGGGCAGACATCTTGTTCTTGTCCTGCTTCTTGGCGGTCTGGTAGAGCAAGTCCAGCAGCAGTTTGAGCAGACTGCGGTTGGGTGCGGGAAGGATCAAAAACAGCAGCTGGAGGGCTTCAATTTGGCGCTCTTTGTCTGGAGTACTGGTCTTATTCCCCTTCTCATCAAACAGCGTCAAGTCTGCCAAATCACAAGGCAGAACATGAAGGACATACATTACCTTCCCTAACAGCAGGCCTATTGCAACCGGTTACCCTTCCCTCTTCACATGCAGATCTCCTCCAAACTCCTGCACAGTTCTTTGCCCTCCATCTCTCTCCCCCCAGCTCCCAAGCTCCCCACCTGACGTGTTAATCTGTGGTACTTCTCCCACAGGACAACACAGTTGCTAAAAGCTGTGATGGGTTGAAGGCAAGATGGAGGAAATTCACCTAAGGTAGTTCAGTAACAGTTATTAAGTACACGGAAACCAAACCTCGCTCAGGAGACCCCCAGACTTAAAACATATGGAGACCCAGGTTACCAGTGTGGGCTCTACTCCTGCAGGTATCTGTTTATTGCTGGAGAGAGAAGACTGGGCTGAGTCTGAGAGACTTGGTCTGATTCCTTAGGATTTTCAGTTCCAGTCTTTCCACGATTAGGCCAAGATGGCAGGAAGATTCCTTCTTACCCTGCCTTTAAGGATTACACTTTCGCAGCCTAGTGTGCCGCATTACCAGCTTCCTAGGAGGCTGGCTCCATTCCCTCTGCTCATCACTGCCTCTTTTTGCTTACTCACCTGCAATTTTGAGGTGGGCATGGAAGTGCTTGTGTGTCAGCAGCGGTTCTGGTAATTCACCCAGGAACATCTTAAGCAGGGTGGCCACATCATTGGAATGAAACTCCCCAGAGTCCAGGTCAATATCTGTACCACTGTTCAGAGCATCCTTTAGGATCTGTTGCCTGATGCTGTTGCCTGGCACCCGAAATAAGCCTTCTGCTCTTAGATCTGCTTGGCAGAGGGGAGAAAAAAGGCCACTAATTAATTAGTGGCTGATACCTATCTTCCTACTAAACCAGTTCCCTGCCCTTTCCAGAGCTTGACAACAAACCTCAGTGAGCTGCATTCAGAGACACGAGTTCAAGCTGGCTCCCATCAGTAGAAAAAGTCCACGCACAGAGGGAAGGAGATTAACATACCTGCTAGGCAATTCTGGGGAACAGTCGCCTAGCCCAGCCCCAAACTCCTGCTGCTGGCGAGCTCAGAGCTTTTCACTCTGTCTGCACCAGAGACCTGAGGTGGGCCAGACAGATACCCCTTGGGATAGGAAGACAGCAAGACAGAGTTACTTACTTTTGTGCAGATACTCGATTAGCTGGGAGACCTGTGCTATGCCTTCTTCTGTCAGCGGTGAGCCAAACACCACCCCTTTCTCTGCAGAACAGAAGATAACATGTTCAGGCAGCTCAGACCCCAACAGCCACAGAGATGAGTGGTCCCCAAGGAACGGGATCTCAGCATGCAAAGACCAGTGCCCCAAAACACTAAGGGTGAAGGTCACAAGGACCACCACAGATGTGAGATATCACAAGCACTCCCAAATAAGTCACTTCATCTCACCATGCTGTACTTACAAAGGCTTCATCATCCTGCTTCTTACCTCAGCTTAATTAAAGTTTTTATCAGCTAAAGCAAATATTCTCTAGCTCCTGAAAAGAAAACACCAGAACAGATGCTTCAGTTTTAACGGGCATACCATCTGCAAGCCTGGACCTTACGGAAACAGCAAAGTGGGAAGGGCAGATGTGACAGCCTGGACTACCCAGGTGCCTGCCACATTTGCACATTCCACACCTGGGAAGGAATGTCCAGGTTAATCCTCACTGTAGCTTGACATGGAGTGGAGCAGAAAGAAGAGGTGCAGCTATGAGACTATGGGAGAGGGAAACAAGCACTAGTGGGGAGAGCAGACATGATCCAACTAGCTCACGCTGGCCTTCTTTTCAGGGATGGGTGATCCCTGGAATTCCCTAATTCCAGTGAATCTCTCTTCTACGTCAACTGCCTTGGCCTGAGTACAGTAAAGTATGAAGTATCAGAAAGCTGAACAAGGAAGAGCTAGAAAAAAAAGGAGAGTAGTGAAGCAATGAGCTGGGCTGTTCTCCATATGGAGCACTGACAGCTCCTCTCACTCCTGGAGTTTGCTTTCATCTCCTGGGGCTGTTACAGATCAGGCATGAGCTGCCAGCTTCAGAACTCCATTCAACACAGGCTACAGCCCCAAAAGAAGATAGAAGCACCTGAGCTGAAAGGACGAGATCCTTGCATGGAAGGAAACATTAGATGAGAAGCCCATTTAGCTGAAAACCACTTGTTGAACCAATGCAGAAAACTGTTATTGTCCAGAGAGGGACTTTCCAGGTAAGAGTAGTTCTCCAGCAGGACAGTATTTTCTAATAAATGGAGTCTTGTTGCTGGGTGGCTTTTTCCATCAGACACACACAGTCAACAAGCTCCGTCCCTCGGAAAGCTGAGGCAACTCCCAGGGGCTTCGCTGGCAGCAACTAGAGCCCTGAGCACCACTTCTTCCCTCAGATGCATGCAGGTTTTGACTGCAGCTAGAGACAAGATGCTGGATAGACCATACCGCAACATGCTGACTGGGACTGAGAACTGGAACCAGGTACAGAGCTGGTTTGTCCTGCCCTTGTACTTAGGCTTCCAAGAGCCAACAGATTTAAGAAAATATTCCTCCCTTCTCTATGACCAGACTGCCAGGAGCATGGGCCACTTTTTGAGGGCAAGCTGGGCATTTGCACCCCAGCTGTCTGTGGTTGAAGATTTCCCTCCTTATTGTTACAGCTGATAGCCCAGCAACCCAAGCAGTGCATTGGCTGGTCTGATAAAAGTTATCTCCCCCGCAAGCTTTCTCTTGCCTTTTTTTTCCCCTCATAGCACATTTTGATTTTACTAGCTTTTGGTCTGTTGTACGACAGATCTTACTGTTCTGTGGTGTTGATGCTCACAGCATGTGGGAAAGACCTGGTCAACCCTGTGCACTTCTCTAGCAGCCTTCCTGTGCAACTAAATTTATTCCGCCTGAAGAATGTTCCACTTTCTTCCAGGACTTCTGAAATACATGGTAAGCCACCAGGAACTCCAGCCTCCCATTAAATCAAGAACTTTCTGACCTCCCTCTGATAAAGCACATGCTTCAGTCTTGCGGAAGAAAGGAGGGCAATGTGACCTCTTGATCCACATGTAAGATCTGAAAGGCTTGAGTGCAAAGGGAGAGAACGGTTGGCAAAAGATTCTTGTCCTTGAAGAAAACTGAACTCATTAGACATTCAACAGATAGAATCAATGGTGGCCAGGAAGGGAAGAGGAAAATACATTTTCTTGAGACGTGCAGGGCCTGACAAATTCGATTTACTTTTGAAGTCAGAAGTTGATATCTGAATGAGAATTGATTCTCAAAGAAACTTGAAAGAAGTGCCTGGAGAATGGATGCTGAGTTACGAAGGCGTAGATGTTATTGTACGATTGCTTCTGAAATGAAGAAGCAGCATGAGATGGAGTTTCCTAATGGTCAAAGGAGTTGTAAGTATTTGCAGCTTGATCAGCTCTGAGCTCTATGGTCCTTGGTCTCTGGCTTTGAAGAAATAAAACCTGTTTGTTCTAGCTGGTCTATAACATGAAGAAAAACAAATGATGGCTCCAAGATGAAACATGCAGTACATGAAACTGATTTTCTCTGTAGGCACAAACTACTTTTTCTCAGAGTTTGGCCAAGGAGTTCACAGACAGTGCCTGTCAATGCAGGAAGACACTGCCATTGCAGCCTGGGAGTGCAGCCAGCAGACTTGGAAACATCTGCTAGCTGTAGCTATAGTGAGACACATGGCCATGGAGATGTCTGAATGGGCAAAGGCGGAGCTCTTGGGGAAGAGAGCTAGCAGGAGACTTCAGGTCTGATAAGAGCAGTGCTCCAGCAGAGTACAGATAATTTAAAAAAAACGAGCTAGAAAAGGCTCACAAGCCCCTGCTAGGTTTTGACAAGAACAGGGAAGTTTCCATACACGCTAAGAAAACACTTGCAACTTGGTTACTCACTTGCTTCTGTTTGTCAAGTGGCAAGTGTCTGAATTTAAGGTGTCCTGCTACTCTCCTGGAACAGAGGCAGGAGCAGTAACAGGTATAAGCACTGTCTAACTGCAGTTTGGGGGCAGTGTGAAGACCTGTTATTATGGAGCAGCAAGGTAAGTCATGGCAATATTGAATAATTCTCACCTAAGGATACTAAAGGACTTGATTTGCAGTACTTGATTTTCCCTTGCAGTGCTGTCCAGCCCGGGGTGAGTGTACCTACCAATGGGTGAGCCAGGAGTAGAGGGCTGAAGCCAGCACCAGAAAATTCAGCCTGAGCAGTGGGGCTGCAGAGCTTGTCCTTATGAAACACAATGGAGGAATAGGTTGGGTAGAATCAAAAACACTTGGAGAAACTATATAAAGGTTGAAGAAAAAAAAACAAACATATTTGGACATAGTGATAGCTCCCTTCTCAGAGGTACTCACAATAGAATTGCTCAAAGGAAGGGGAAGACTAATTATAAGTGTTCAATCTCAGGCTGCCAACATCTGAAGGCAGCTACCCACAACTTCTCTGCTAGCAGACAGCCAGTCTAGCTAGGAAACCAGAGTTGACGAGGGATGTGAGAGGTGCCCAGATGAAGGCAGTTTCTGTCTAGGTAAGTGAGAAGGGTTAACTGAACTTATCAGGAGAACCAGGCTCCCCTTGAGTGTGGGCAGAGGTGGGAGAAGGCGCACACACACATCTAGAACACCCTTTTAGTTACAACAAAATAGAGTGGTAAATGCCAGGCAGTGAAGAGGAGAGGATCTGAATACAACTGTGCTCAAAAGCAAATCTCAGACTTCTGAGAAGGGGCCTTGGGCTAATGTTTCATAACCAAGACAGCTGAACTTGAAAGAGAAGATAAGAATAGTCAGTTTACCAGAAGAAAACTCCAGCTGAATGTTTGTCTCAGAGAGAAGGAGAAATATGTCATCTCCTAGGGTTGAATCTGCGCTTGAGCAGAGTCAGTCCGCAGAGCTTTGTCACTGACTTACTGGATTGGGATGTGGATCAGACCAGCACTGGCATTTGGATGGGAGATGCTTACAGATTTCTGAGCTGCACAGACAAGACCTTCCAGGGAGCTGGGACAGCAACTGAAGGAGACACTGGGCCCTGAGTGAAGTCAGTGGCGTGGAAAACCTGGGCATTATTATTCTTCATGGAACCTGATGCTCTCAGCCTTTACTGATATTCCATCACTAATGAGGAAAGCTAATGAGGTAAGGAGAACAGAGCATGGACTACCATGGACACAAACAAGCAGAGAGACGAGGACACCTTGGTGGGTATTGGAAGAACCTGCCGCTCGTTCAGGCACCCCTCTCCAGCTCAGCACTATCCACAGAGCCAGACCAGAAACACTCAGGGACCAAAGCTGTATCTTTGTGGTTTGTACTGCACTGAGCACAGCAAGCAGCAGACCCACCGAGGCCAACCTGACAAACCACAGCAATAATCCCCAGAAGAAGGGTACTCAGAAGTGGCAGGGCATTTCCGGGATGAACCTCCTGGCCTCTGTTTTGCTCCTTTCTAGAGTAACCCCCAGAGATTACAAACCTACAGTATTAAGCATTCAGCACAAGCTCAAAACAACAGGCCTACACTGAAAGTTTTGTAAACTACGTGTAACAGATGATGACAGTCAGCACCACCCTAAAGGTGGGCACCGGACCTTATGCCATACTCACCCTTGCGCTTCAGAGACATCAGAGAACGAAAAAATCCAGAGGCTGTGCTGTTTGCCCCAGGCAGCTTTGGGTCCTCCTCTCCCATTAGCTGGGCCAGCTCTGCCCCAGGCAAGTCAATGAGCCTGGTAATGTTGCTGACAACCAGCTCTGTGAACACCTCTGGTTTTTCATGGCGCAGCTTTTCCACAAAGAAGTCAGGATTGAAGATGATCGGCTGGCTGCGGAGGGAGGAGTCATTGCAAATGACAAAATTGCAGACAGCATCACTGGAAAAAAGGGAAGGAGAAAAAAAAAATACAGTAACTCCTCATTGCTTTGTTTTTTACAGCCAGCTGGTCTGCCCTGAAGGAGACATCTGCTGACACAGGAGCTACCAGTCTACACCATCAGCACTGTCTGTCTTCGGTGAGTGTTCAGCACAGCGCAGTTACATTTCCCTTTGGAGCAGAAACATTTCTGGCCTGTTTGTACAACACAGCCCCAGACTAGCACTCCATAATGTGATGGTAACATATGCAACACATGACAACACCCAACTAAACCTTTCATTGTATCTAGCTCAGGCAGCTATGACATCCGACATTTTACATTAACTTACCACTCGCAGTCATAAATAAGGTTCTGTCTCCTTTCCTCCCCAGAAATTCACTCCCCGTGGCCTGAAAGCCTAAATCCCAATCTTTTTTTCATGGCCAGCTTACACTCATCAGTTCCCATTGCTGTTACATCATCACTACCTTCCTATCAACAAACAGAAAGTTCCCATGCCCTGGGACTTTGTTTTTAAGATCATAACTGTGCAACACCACCGACCTGCAGTTCTGCTAGGGATGCGATCAAATGCTCCAGGTGACAAGCTGCCAGCTCTTGGCTGCTGCTCTCTGCCAGCTACGATAACTGCCCAGCTATGCTGAGTCTGGAGCGAGTAGGAACTCATCAGTATTAGCACAAGCCATGCAAGATCAGTCCTTGAGGAACCCTTAGTAACCTTCCTCCTAGTACATCCCTTTTTGGCTCATCCAGTTCTTGCCTCTTCTTCAGGCTGTCCTTTATCCGACCTCCCTATTCTCTACTGACACCTACTTTCTCCATTTCATAGCCTCTCATGTGGCATGGGAAAAGGGATGCATCTGAGACACTGCTCTGCTAAGGGTTATCTAAAACAGATACTTAACCCTACCAGAGGTTAGGTAAGCTACATTTACCATGTCTAAAATCAAAATAAAAAGTTATCAAAGACTCAGATCTCAGGTTAATCAGCGCTCTTAATGGTCACACTTAAAGCTTATCCCAGTTTCCATCTACCTCTAGGTCTTCCGTTACCATCTTCCCACCGTTTCAAACATTTGCACACTTGTGAAGTCAAGCCCACAGGCTAGCGTTGCCTAGCTTGCTTCTCCTGCCCCTCTTTTACTTAAATGTGAGGATTAGTGTCATTATTCTCCAGTCACAAGCTACTGCCCGATGTCACGCTCTGCTACAAAGTGCTGGTCTGGCCCTGCGAGTTGCTTTGCCAGTTCTGCCAGGGCTCTGGGTGGAGGCTGCCTACCCACCCAGCTTGCACACGCTGCGTGCTTTCACTGCGTGACATTCCCCAGTCCTTTAATGATTCTTGGGCTCTTAGATAATACTTTCCTTTCCACTGTTTCAACATCCCTCCTCAGCTGTGAGCTCCCACTGAACACCATTTTCCAACAGCAGCTGCCAAGGGCACAGGTAACAGAAATGCTGTGTTTGTGCACCAGGGATCACGTCAGTCCCTTAGGTGTGGTGTGGCGTCCGGGGGGAAGCACGTGCTCTGCCGATCACTCCCGAGGCCACCAAAGGCTTTACCTCCAAAGCAGGCTCTCCCACAGAAGACCAGAGCACCCTGCCCTTCCTCTTGTCCCTGCTGAGGAGTGGAGGCCATGTCACTGTGTTCGGACCACGCTGGGCATCTGTGCTCACTGCTCAGCACGCCTGCCACCGACAGGGAGGGTGTTTGCAACCCGCTGGACCTTACATCCATTGGTTCAAGCAACAGAGCACTTTAGCTACTAGTTCAGAAATGGGGAGCAACTTATTGTTCTGATGTAAATCGACAGCAGCTAACGAAGGGGAGGACATCAAAGCACACACTGGCAAGTCACCTGACTCCAGCCCACCACACAATATCTGCGAACCCAACAGTTACCTGAGCTACTGCTGTACATCTTTGACCTGAAAGACCATCTTGGCATGATTTCCAGGATGCGTGATCAGAGTAAGAGAATGAAAGCTGGGACTCAGGCTACACAAGGAGAAAGATGCTGAAATCGGAGGAAACCAGGCTCTCAGCAACACTTGTATCGTGAGAGTCCGTACGAAACCCTCTCCCCTTGCCACTGCTCTCCATGGATGTCAAAGACTCCTTCAAGAGGATGGAGAGGAGGAAGGTCTGCAAGGCAGACTGCAAGGCAATCTGCCAGGTCATCTAAAATTTTAGAAAGCTCTTAAAGGCTCCCAGCTGCATCACTCAGAGTGGCCTAGCGAGCATGCTGCCGACTCCAAATGGGGGCCATATTTTTCTGAGTACCTCCCAGTCTGTTTTTCAGCAGTTTGTTATCTGCAATAAATCAAGAGCGAAATGCAACAACTCAGTATCAGCTGCCAAAAAGCAACTGCCAATCGATCTGATCATATTCGCATTTCATTGCACAGGGCTACAATGCACAAACAAGTGCCAGCTCTGCCCATAATGTGGAGCAAGCCCTTTGCCTGAAACCCATGACAACTCATTCTGTGGCAATACAGATCCTGAGAAGGGTTAATAGCAAGTGTATAGGCCCAGTGACCCTGCCTGCAATGATCCGTGCACTGTTATTCACTCACTAGCAGTTTTGTTTCCCCACAGAGAAGATATGCAAATACTTTGCAGCAGTTACATCAAGCATCACAGATTATCTGCTCCCTCTGACAATTAGATATCTAGATTCAGAGAAAGAAAATTAAACAATTTTGTCAACTAGAACTGACTGACGTGACTTCTCCGCACAGCCAGTGTTACAAGTTGCACAAAGTTTAACAACATTTAATACAAAAATAAATAGAAAAAAGTAAATTTCTTACATGAGTGCTGAGAGCTTTTGGAGAGGCATTAGGAAGCAGAGACAGGGAAAAGAACTTGCTCCTTGTTTCCAGCAACAAAAGAAACCTGCCTGTCCCAGCACAGCCTATGCAAATTCCACGCATGCTACGAGACACAAGGGCGCATTATTGGGTCTGAAAGGCCCCCTTGGCACACACTGGGCATCAGCCTTCACACAGAGACAAAACAGAAAAGAAAAGCTGGACAAATTGATTCATGTCTCTTGCCAAAGGCTGCGTAGCTGGAGTTTAACAGCAAATAATTCCTACATAGAAACCAGGGTTTTGAATTAGGACCAGTGTGGTATTAAGTGCTCTCCACCTGTATCCAAGAGGAATCCACAAAATAGCCCCAAATCTACCCTGTGTTTACCATGAGTAAAGCCATGCAAACACATTCCCAACAGCATCCAAGCACAACCGATGTTACGGCACTGGCAGAACAATAACCGAGTCCCTTAACTGCACAACTCTGTGCCCAGAAACCTTGCTGGAAACACTTTCTGCCCCTGCCTTTCACACTTTCAGATGCCTTCAAAGACAAAGCACGCAGATCGGCCTCTCCAGAGCTGGAAACGGCACCTGGCCATTGCTCTTTGCTACCATTACTGTGCCACCATGTACCGTTTATCCACTTCAGGTTTCCCGTTCCACGTTTCTCTGGATTCCCATCCAGTTTCCCTGCCTGCCGCAGCTGGGACCAGCCTTGTATACTCTTATTGTGGTATGGCACTTCAATGAGCTACTTAATTTTGAAAGGTCACTTTATTAGCAGCTCCTCCTCGCACAGAAAATTTGCCTTCGTATCATTATTGCTAATCAAAATGGAAATGTGAAGCAAACCCCTATTTCTGAGCAAAGATAAAGCCCCCACTGGCTTTATACACAATAACCCTGCCAATCCTCACTGCTGCACACACTATAACCTTCAGAAAAAGCCATGTGCCCCATCTGCTGTTTTCATGTTATAAAAGGAAGATGGATGTAGTCTACCTACATTCACAGTTTATATAACAGCAGCAAAGGGGAGACAAACGTGTATTCAGGGAGTTTATTGCTTTTTTCTTCTTTGCTTGCAATTACAGAGTTATATTTTCTATATGCTGTGATCTCAGATTGCTTTATGACATGTCAAAAGACGATAAAATAAAGGAATAAATAGCTTCCTCTCCCATGAATAAAATAAAATCCCAATGAATAATAAAACCTTGTACTAATAGGGTTGTGGTTAAGACAGCAGATTAAAAAAAATGGGTTCTATATTGTGCTGAGATTCTTGCCATTCTAGTACCTTTTAGGAGCGAAGCCTGTGATCCCAGCCAAGTCACAAAGAAAGCTGTCTGTCACACACAACGTTCTTGCTTCAGGCATGACAGCCCCATCATTTCATGGGGAGTGGATGGTGCAGGAGGTCAAAATCATGATGGATCAATTAATCCCTAAGGTAACTAGATCCAGGCCAGGGAAATGCCTTGGAAACTAGGGCAAAAATGAGACTTCAACTGGCAGAACCTGGTGATTGAACCTGCGGTGCAAGAGCTGTGCAAGGAGGCAGATCAGCTCATGTGGCAGCAAGCTTGCATTCAGATAGGTGAGACCTCACTGTTTTAGTGGCTTTTACAGATTTTATATTGTTCTAACTCCACCCATGCGAAGGCAGAAACAGGTTCAAGCAACATGAAATAGAGCATAAGGAGAACACAAGTAAGCCAAGAAAAAGAAGGAAGAGGTACCTTTGGGGCAAGGCATTAGCTGTGTTTGTGCAGCTGGAAGCTGCAGATTTCGGAGGAGCCTGATGTACCTAATTCAGTGGGCAAAGTCCACCTCTGGTGCCATTTTGCACACTTCGTATGTATGTTGTCACTAAAGAGCTAACATTTCAGACACACCACAGTAGATGAGTCTTACCATACAGGAGTAAAAGGATTAAAGAGCTTTTGAAAATAAGGCAGATAATGGAAGAAAATCTCTCTCTAATAACAAAATCTTTAGACTGCAAGAAACAGCCAGGCTACTACCAAATACTGAGAGCAGGGCGATAAGCAGGCAGTGCTAAAGAACACAAAACATGAGCAATTCTTTGCCTGGCTAAGCACAAAGGGAGACGGGACAGATGCGCGCAGGCTCATATTTCCCCAGGGAGAGAGAAGTAGCATCGTTTCCTATGTTGTGCCAGAGTAAGGAATCAATTACTGTGGATGTCTGAAGACAGTATTTCCAGAGCCAGATAGGAGCCATCCCAGATTTTGCAAAGAGATGAAAGAACCGTAGCGGAATTATGTGGAATCATTTTAAGTACAAAAGGACTAGAAGACAAATTATTTCCTAGATTAAAAAAAAATTAACAGAAGTCTAATGGGAATGGACTGTAGAGACATTAGAAGTGACTTCACAGCTAAGGTTGCTTTGAGGACTGTACTTCAGACTGACATTCTTGTAAGACAGCGTAACAAAGATCACATTCAGGCCTCAGATTTAGCACAGTAACTCTTCATGATGACTGACACGCCTCTGAAAAATGTCAAGAAAAACACGCAGCAATTTTTGCCTAGGGTTATACTCTTAAGGTCTTTAGGGGCAGAGAGAGTCCTTTTGTGATGAGCACACAGTACATAGCACGGTGGGTGCTGATCCTTGACCACGGTCTCTGGACTTAATACAAGTAAGCCATACTAGTAACACTGCCTTTTTAATTTTTGCTTTGCTTTCTTCACATTTAAACAGCTAACACAGAGTGATTCAGCCTTTTGGCTGTGGGAACCAGATAATAATATACAATTTAAACACCAAGGAGCTGGGGAAGAAAGCTGCTATTATGTGATGGCAGCCTGCGCTGGACAACCTGGAACTAACGTAATACCTGGTCATCTTTTGGACATCAGGTAAACTGGATATCCAAGTCACCGCTATAATCTATGAATTCAAATTCTGTCTCAGTAAAGGACTCAAAGCAGACCTCGGCAACATCAGCTACACATCTGTGATGTGAACCTGGAGATGGACCTATCTGGGAAGATAAAAGGGTTGGGGGGGAAGTGTGCTTTGGAAGAAACTGAAAATGCAACATATTGCCAGCATCAAAGAGAACTGCAGTACCAAGACAGCTTGATACATGTGAAATATCAAGAAATTTGCATTTCAGCATGAAATTCCTCAAGTTTGGCCTCAGTGAATTCTTTTGTGATACCTTTAATAATAGCCACTGGAATATTTTAAAGCCAACAAAGCAGTACTTCAATCAGCCATCACCACAACATCAGAGTATCCAGATGCCTTCTAGTGCTAGAAGGAGGAAAAGAACTAAGAGGCGCCTTAGAGAGGAACCGCATGTTCACTGCGGTGCTCCTCACCAAGTCCCCTTCCCAGCGCCACCACCACAGCTCTGGATGATCCCACGGTGTGCGATGGCTCAGCCTCCTACCCAAGGCTCTGTAAAAAATGCAGAAACACAGCTACCGCCAGAAACCCAGTAATTTTCCATTAAAGATCTGCAAGCTCATATGTCTGCCTTAACATCAGAATAATACAGTCTAGCAGCATTAAATAGCAATGGCGCCCCGATTTTCATGACTTCCAATGCAGTCTAAAGTTTGTGTCTTTATTTTCATGTAAACCCCTACAGGGAGCTGCAATAGAAGAGGAGCCTTACATCCAACCCTGATTTCACTGAAACCAGCACCAAAACTGAATCTTTTTAGATGGCAGCAGCTGCCTCTTCTCATTACTGATCTATTCACTTTTATCACTGTGGCATTGGGAACCTTGGTCACAGCTGGGGACTCCACTGTGCTCCATGCTGTACAAACACAGAACAAAGGCAATAGCCTGTCTTTAGAGGGCTGATAGCTAAATCTGAAATGAATGCTGGAGGGACAGAAAAGAGGAGGAATCCCAAGAGAAGAGGCAGCACTATCAGTCAGCATGACTGATATAACTGAACTCCGCCAGCTTTTCTGTAGACACTATTAAAAAGGAGGGCGAGGAAGGACAAGAAAAATAATCAGGTCACACTGCAGACATTTAGAAGAAATCCAGCTCCTGCGCGAGGGGCGACATGGGACCGAGCACAAAGGAGCTGGTTTGAAAGCTATCAGGCAGGGACGGCTGGGACATGGGGCTGAGGAGGCAAGAGCTGAGCTCCAGGCACTGGCCGGGAGCTGCTGGCGAGGCAGAGACAACAGGCCAGCAGCGCCGGGGAGCCGGAGGAGCCTGGCAGCACCG